CGAGCTCAGCGACTAAGGCAGACGCAGCAGGAGACGAGTACGAAGGGTCAGTCACCACCGTAGCAAGAAAGCGAGTAACAGTCGGACTGAACGAACGAGCAAGGTTAGACGAAGGGTCAGCAACGTCAGGAAGAGAGGACGCAGGAGGTAACGGGAGGACAACACGCTGTGGAACAGAGGAAGGACAGAGTGTCATATCGTGAGTGCCGGGGACAGCCGGAGCACGCGGACGACGAACATGAGGAACACGAGCACGGACAGCAGCTCTAGGCTCAGGCTCAAGGTCAAAGCTAGACTCAGGCTCTCGACGCTCAGGGGTAGAAGCACGAGTCTCAGCACCCCCAGAGTCAGCACCCAAAGTCTCAGTACCCCCAGGCTCAGTACCCTCAGGCTCAGTACCCTCAGTCCCAGCACCCGCAGGCTCAGTGCCCTCAGTCCCAGCACCCGCAGGCTCAGTACTCTCAGTCCCAGCACCCGCAGGCTCAGTACACTCAGTCTCAGCACCCGCAGGCTCAGTACGCTCAGTCTCAGCTCCAGTGTCCACTGCAGAAGGCTGCAGAGGCGGGAAACCGGGGGGGGTAGCCAAACGAGGAGAGCAGTCACCCCCAGACGTACCACTCCCAGGCCCAGCTCCAGCAGCCTCAGCTCCAGAGTCCACAGCAGCAGGCTGCGGAGGTGGCGAAGACGGCCGAGGCGGGAAACCCGGGGGGGTCTCCAAGCGAGGAGTGTGGCGAGTGGTCGCCGTGTCGTCGGCGACGGCGTCACCCCCCTCAGCTGAGTCAGAGGAGTCAGAAGAGATCTCAACTGGCTCATCCAAGGGGGGTGGGTCTACCTGGGACACACCTGAGGGAGCAGGACCCTGTGGGGGAAGGGGGTCTACCTGGGGGGGGACTGGTACCAGGAAGAGAGGCGCGAGGGGGACCGGGTGGGACGCGTGTGGGTGAAGTCGGTAGTAACAGACCGACTCGTCGAAGGTGACGTCCTGAGAGGATAGAACACGACGCGAGGCAGGGTGGTAGAACTGCCAGGGTGGAGCGTCGGTGGGGAAGCCCAGGAAGACACAGCGGAGAGTGCGAGGAGAGAGCTTGCTCGCTTTGGTATCGCGAACAAGGGAGAGCGCGCCCCAGACCCGAAACGACGACGCATCACCAGGCTGTCCCGTCCAACGGAGTGTGGGCGAGGTCTCTGGAGCAGAGACACGGGGCCAGAGGTTGAGCTGATGCGCGGCGTATCGGACCGCAAACGGCCACAGGAAATGGGGAGCAGCCGCATGGATCAAGGATGTACGAGCAACCTCCATGATCAGGCCAATGCGACGCTCAGCGATCCCATTTTGCTGCGGAGAGGCCGGAAGCGTGAACGACTGGGCGATGCCCTCATCCTGGCAGAACGTCTCAAGGACGCCAGAGGAGAACTCACCACCCATGTCAGAGTGCAGACGCAGGACTGGGAAGTCCTGCTGAAAGCGCTCGTGCAGCTGGAGACGAGTAGCACGGATCCAGCGGATCAAAACACCGCTGACGTCCGCCTTGCGACGCAAGGGGAAGACTTTGGTGTAGCGTGTGTAGTCGTCAACAACCAGCAGGAAGTAGCGCTCCAGGTCCGTCCCACTGACTGGGGCCGGGCCCCGCACGTCCAGGTGGAGAGTCTGCAGAGGAGCAGTGGTCGGAGGAAACTCGGAGGAGTGAGGAGCGGCGCGCTGCCGCCCCTCGACGCAAGGAAGGCACGGCGGCGCAAGTGAGCGCGGGAGGGGGGGGAGGGTCCTGGGGAGGCCAGAGACAAGGAGACGGGAGTGCATACTGCGTAGACGCTGCAGGGAGGGGTGACCAAGACGGTGGTGCCAGCGCTGAGTCTCGTGCGTGAGTACTCTGCACGAGCAAGACGCATCTAACTGCCTCGACGCAGACGCCCGACTCGACGCAGCCACCTGACCTGACTCAGCCACCTGTGCAGACGCAGTGGTCAGTGTGTACAGACTAGACCCAGGCTGTCGAGCGAACGTAGCCAGGTGACGGCCAGTCCGGGAGCACGTACAGATCGCCACACGCTGCCCTCCAGGAATAAAGGTATCAACCCAGACATCCTGAATGGCAGCGTTGCTCACCAAGTTCGTCGAGAACGTGGGGAGGTGGAGACCTGACAGAGAGCCGGAGGGGACTGCTGGACAAGGGAGGACCGTCGAGGCTCTCGCAACTACTGGGCCCCTAGAGGGGTCAGCCAGTGAGACTGGGACAGATGCTGTGAGTGGTGTGACTGTGGTGCAATCACGAAAGAAGCAACGTGACGCGCCTGCGTCAAGCGTGAAAGTGTGCAAGGCCTCAGCTGAGGCAGGACCTGTGGTAGGAGACGCACTAGCACCTAGAGCGTCGGTAGACTCACGGGCACCTAGAGCTGCAGTAGACTCACTAGCACCTGGAGCGGCAGCAGACTCACTAGCACCTGGAGTAGCAGCAGACTCACTAGCACCAAGAGCAGCAGTCTTAACAAAACGATAACCTCCACCACTAGGACGACCTCGCTGAATAACCCACTCACGAAGCTGCTGAGGGGTGGGGTGGGGTTGTCCGGGAGAAGTAGTGCCCGCTGCTGTCCACCCCTGACCGCAGCAACTGCCGCGGAAGTGGCCATGACAGACAGTGACGGTCAAGAGTAGGTCCAGCACCTCCAGCTCCTACAGTACCACCAGCACCTCCTGCACTCCCAGCAGCACCACCACCAGCAGCAGCAGTAGCACGAGTAGCAGCAACAGTAGTAGTTTTTTTTTTTTTTTTTTTTTTTTTTTTTTTTTTTTTTTTTTTTTCAGGAATTAGGGTTGCGCGCGGCCCACGGGCTGCAGGGGCGACGCGCGGCTCGGCAGGGCGGCGCGCGGGCTGCAGGGGCAGCGCCTACGGGCTGCAGGGGCGACGCGCAGCTCGGCAGGGCGGCGCGCGGGCTGTAGGGGCGGCGTGCGGCTCGACAGGGCGGCGCCCAGGCTGCAGGGGCGACGCTTGGCTCGGCAGGGCGGCGCGCGTGCTGCAGGGGCAGCACCTACGGGCTGCAGGGGCGACGCGCAGCTTGGCAGGGCGGCGCGCGGGCTGTAGGGGCGGCGCGCGGCTCGGCAGGGCGGGGCGCGGCTCGGCAGGGCGGCGCCCAGGCTGCATGGGCGACGCTCGGCTCGGCAGGGCGGCGCGCGGGCTGCAGGGGCAGCGCCCACGGGCTGCAGGGGCGACGTGCGGCTCCGCAGGGCGGCGTACGGGCTGCAGGGGCGACGCGCGGCTCTGCAGGGCGGCGTACGGGCTGCAGGGGCAGCGCCCACGGGCTGCAGGGGCAACGCGCGGCTCGGCAGGGCGGCGCGCGGGCTGCAGGGGCAGCGCCCACGGGCTGCAGGGGCGACGCGCGGCTCTGCAGGGCGGCGTACGGGCTGCAGGGGCGACGCGCGTCTCTGCAGGGCGGCGTACGGGCTGCAGGGGCAGCGCCCACGGGCTGCAGGGGCAACGCGCGGCTCGGCAGGGCGGCGCGCGGGCTGCAGGGGCAGCTCCCACGGGCTGCAGGGGCGACGCGCGGCTCGGCAGGGCGGCGCGCGGGCTCCAGAGGCAGCGCCCACGGGCTGCAGGGGCGAATGCGCGGGCTGCAGGGGCAGCACGCGGGCCACAGAGGCAGGCACGGCTGCAGGGGCAGCACGAACGCAGGGGCAGGCACGGCTGCAGGGGCAGCACGGTCGCAGGGGCAGGCACGGCTGCAGGGGCAGCACGGTCGCAGGGGCGAGTACGGCTGCAGGGGAAGCGCGGTCGCAGGGGCAGCACGCGGGCTGCAAGGGCAGCGCGGCTGCAGGGGCAGCGTAGGAAGAAAAAATTTACGGTTAGGGCAGGGCGGAACGTTCGGTGGGCCCTAGGAACGATTCTGCTCTAATACTATGTTCGAATAAGCAGGAATGAATGATTGAACTAGGCAAGAGGTGAGTACAAGTAGAGGAAACCTAACCCTAAAGTGTTGTACTCACTAAGGAGTGACCCTACTGTAGCCTAGAGATACAATTGTAATCTGACAATACGAAACGACCTAGGCTAGCCATGTACTCTAAGTGGTACATTCCCTTATTACAACAAAGTTCAAACCGTGCGGCGCGGGAACCCGTTTCAAACCTGTTCCCGCTCTTTTCACTTCGAATGTTTCTGCCTGCATCGGTCTTGATCAGACAGTTACCAGTGTCGCTTCGACTCTTCTGACTCCTCGGCTTCGTAGACTTTAGAGTCGGCCCCTGCAGCATACAGGAATGCCTTCTCATAAAGTTTCATATCGTAACAAAATGTACAACTAGTCTGCATGTATTGAGCTGATTGACACACCCTCCACAAATTTGCCTATCATGTTTATTTTCGCCTGTCTTGGGAGGTGCTGTTCGAAGAAAGTCGCAGTTCAAAACGAGGTCGAAAAAAGCGAGGTGATGACGATCTGGTAACCCGTATCGTCTAGCTCGTGCGTTATCGCCACCCTATCAGTAACGCCAGCTTTCCATCTCCTCAAGACATACCATCGAGTCGCAGAGTTCGCAGCACTCGCAACCTGTCGTGTGTTCCACCGTCGCAACCCCAAACCATCCAAGACCCAAAACCCCTGCCTTCCACTTATTTTCTCGATTTTCTCCAGTTTTTCACTTTCGCGCCAATTGGCGGTCATTTGGAGCTTCATCAATCCCATCCCAGACGGTCATCTGCTGCAGCCGCTGCGCCTTCCGTCCGTCGCAGCCGCGCCAGCGCTCGTGCGCGCTGCCCGACGCTTGCGCAGCCGCGTCTCGACGTCGTATTCGTAGATTCGCGCCAATCCCGTTTAGCACCCGGGGAAAGCCCAGCGGGGGATCCTGATCTTTCCACAGTGCCTTTTCACTGCGCAGTATCCGATTCACAGTGCTTTTTCGCTGCGGGTAACCCTTTTATTTTTTGCGAACGGCTTCGCTACAGCGCTCACTTAACAGCGTCGTCACGTTCCGAGACGCATCGGCCGCGTAACCAGGACCTCGCACAATGTCGGTCCTCATGCGTTTCTGGGGTGAGAATCACCACTCAACTTCTAAGACATACTCAATATTACCTCCGAAAGCCGACATGTAGCAGGATGAGCTATCTGAGTTGCTTGTATGCACGGTGAACGGCTTTCGACGCCACGAATAAAATCACAATCTTGCCAAAGTTGCCCTACTTCACAATCTTTGGACCAATGTTGTCCCCCCCCGTCCATCCCCTTCTCTCCCGGCCCAAACCCCTTTCTGAGGTTGATTTTGAGAATTCTCAAAATCAACCTCAAAGAAGTGAAGGCTGGTGAGACGGTGGAGATGGAACCGACTCAGTCGTCCCCATCCCCCTTCCCCACCGCATCTCGCCTCCCAACCCTCCCCCTCTCTTCTCCCCCTAACCCCCCCTTCTCCCCTATGTGAATCCCACCAGGCGTGGAGGTGAAAGCGGGAGAGACAGTGGAGGTGGAACCGAGTCAGTCGTCCCCATCCCCCTTCCCCACCGCATCTCCTCTCCCCACCCTCCTCCTCCCTTCTCTCCCTACCCCCCGTCCCCCCGTGCGAATCCCACCAGGCGTGGAGGTGAAGACGGGAGAGACGGTGGAGGTGGACCCTCGTGATATTGCGGACTACGTTCACATCACTCAGGTGGGTACTGTAGCATGCTAATATACCTTTGCAATCATGCAACAATACACAAGAGCATGGAGTGTGGGGGCCTCGTTTCCAATTTTTGGAAAGGCCAGAATGCGTAGCATTGACGCAGAAAGAATTGAGACACAGACGCGCACGTGGTGGTGTTACAACACAACAAAAAATGGAGGTGACTTTCGCTTAGACTGTAACGCAAAACCCTGAATCCCGAGAGCTGATATTCTCCCAAGCATGTTGTCACAGGTTGGAAAAACCCTTTGCGTTTGCAAACCCCTGTTTGTGGATAGAAGTACAATTGGGATCTGGCAACCACTGTTTCCTCTCCACTTTCGGAAAGTGACTTTCCCCTTCTTGTTCACCTATCCTTCCCTCCCCTCCCACCTCTTCTATTCTCCCTTGTGCTCTCTCGCATCCCATCCCCACTGATTCCTCTCCCTCCTCTCCCCTCTCGGAGGTCACTCTAGGCCCCTCCCCCAAGGCAGGCGAGCGAGTGGTCATCACTCTCACCACCGCCCCACCCGGTGATGCCCACTGTCATTCCCTCTCCTTTCTGCCCCCCTCTCCCTCTCTCAGGTCGCTCTAGGCCCCTCCCCCAAGGCAGGCGAGCGAGTGGCCATCACAATCACCACCGCCCCACCTGCTGATAGCGATAGCGACAAGGAGGAGGAGGATGAGTAGCAGTCGCACTCAATGTCCCCCTCCTGTCGTCCTCCCTCTCTCAGGTTGCCCTGGGTGCATCCCCCAAGGCAGGCGAGCGAGTGGCCATCACAATCACCACCGCCCCACCTGCTGATAGCGATAGCGACAAGGAGGAGGAGGATGAGCAGATGGGGAATGGTGATGAGAAGAACAAGGGGAGTGCAGAGGGGTTCAGTGCGGTGGTGGCCGTGCTCCAAGCAGGGGAGAAGGACCAGGCAAGAGTGCAGTTGGTGCTGGAGCGGCCGTTTTCACTGGCTCATGGCGGCATGGGGAGTGTGTTTCTGAGCGGGTACAAGACGATGCAGGAGTATCCCGATGGAGGAGGTACGTCTTACACCGTCTATGCGGACCGGAAGGGAAGGGATGGGAAGGGTGAGTTGAGGTAAGAAGGACCAGGCGAGAGTGCAGTTGGTGTTGGAACGGCCCTTTTCTCTCGCGCACGGCGGCACGGGGAGTGTGTTTCTGAGCGGATACAAGACGATGCAGGAGTATCCGGATGGGGGAGGTGAGACACAGGCCATAGACTGCCTATGGGGAAGGAAAGGGGGGGATGGGAGGTAGGGTAGTGGTGAGGGACCAGGCAAGAGTGAGGGACCATGCGAGAGTGAGGGACCAGGCAAGAGTGAGGGACCATGCGAGAGTGAGGGACCAGGCAAGAGTGAGGGACCATGCGAGAGTGAGGGACCATGCGAGAGTGAGGGACCAGGCAAGAGTGAGGGACCATGCGAGAGTGCAGTTGGTGTTGGAGCGGCCGTTTTCGCTGGCCCATGGCGGCACGGGGAGTGTATTCTTGAGCGGATACAAGACCATGCAGGAGTACCCGGATGGGGGAGGTATGGCGCGTGCCTCAAACCCCTTTCTGCTTGTGTCTTGAGCCCTGGTTACCCTGTTGTGACTCAAGCGCCTGGTTTACCAGGCCGGGGAAAGGATGGGAGGTGAGGTGAGGGACCAGGAGTGTGATCAGTTGGTGTTGGAGCGGCCGTTCTCTCGCTCATGGCGGCACGGGGAGTGTGTGGCTTGCTCTGCCCTCTCCCCCATGCCGGCACGGGGAGTGTGTTTCTGAGCGGGTACAAGACGATGCAGGAGTATCCGGATGGGGGAGGTATGGGCCTCACACACACCACACTCAGGGGTGAGGGTGTTGTTGTGCCTGCTGGCTGGTCAGTGTGTGTGACGTGACCAGATGTGCTCTGGCATATGGAGAGGTGATGTTCGAGGCGCCTCAAAAATCACCTCTCTGCTGGCTGGTCAGTGATGTGCTCTGGCTGGCATATGGCAAGACATCTGGGAGTGTGTTTTGAGCGGGGTGACTTTTGAGTCGACTCAAAATTCACATCTGGGAGTGTGTTTTGAGCGGGTACACGAGATCGCAGGAGTTTCCTGATTACTTTGTAGCTGTTCATGCTTAAATCCGTTTTTGTGTGCTGTGGTTTTTGTTATTTCTCTCGCTTGCAGAGGCCGAAGAGGACCCGTTTGCTGATATTGAGGAGGAAGAGGAGGAAGAAGCAGAGGACGAGGAGACTTTTGAGTCGACTTCAAATTCACCTCTGTGTGTGTGTTGTCTCTTGATTGCAGAGGCCGAAGAGGACCCGTTTGCTGATATTGAGGAGGACGAGGAAGAGGAGGAAGAGGAAGAAGAGGAGGAGGAGGATGAGGAGGCGATCGAGAGGGAGGCAGCGATGGAGATAGCAGCGCTGCAGGCGCAACTGTCGACGAAGAGTGAGTCCTGACGGAGGCGAGTTGTATGTGCTAGAAATGCGGATAGCAATGCAGGTTATAGCACTGCACAGCAGCGATGGAGATAGCAGCGCTGCAGGCGGAGCTAGTCACGAAAAGTGAGTTGAGTTGTATGTAAAAACAATCACAGACAGCAATGCAGTATGCAGCACCTCACAGCGGCAAATGAGATAGCGGCGCTGCAGACGGAGCTCGCCACGAAGAGTGAGTCGTGACTGAGTCTGTCTGAGAGAGTCTTGACTTGACTGAGTCGGTGCAAGAGTCATGCTCGTTGAAGACGCGACGATGAGCGCAGCACACGAGGAGGAGGAGGATGAGGAGGCGATTGAGAAGGAGGCAGCGATGGAGATAGCCGCGCTGCAGGCGGAGCTCGCCTCAAAGAGTGAGTCCCACCGAGTCTTGCTTCTTTCAGTTGCTGCGGGACTTGCTTTATTTGAACAAGTTGCACAGGAGTGGAGGAAGCAGAGGCAGCGGTGGAGATAGCCGCGCTGCAGGCGGAGCTGTCGACAAAAAGTGAGTCGTGTTCCATAGAAAAGAATAAAGATGGCATTGCAGAGAGCAGTGCAGAATGCAGCACGGCACACAGCAGCAATGGAGATAGCATAGCAGCGCTGCAGGCGGAGTTGTACCTACCATAAACGCGGAGCGGATAACAATGCAGGTGATAACACCCCATTCATGCATGCAGGTAGTAGCAGTGCAAAGCAGCGATAGCAGCGTTGCAGACGGAACAGAAGTGTCTGCGAGAAGGGAGTTCACAGCAGAAGCACCGTCTCTCCTGCCCTCTCCTCCTTTTGAGTCGACTCAAAATGACTTTTGAGTCGACTCAAGTGTCTGCGAGAAGGGAGTTCACAGCAGCAGCACCGTCTCTCCTGCCCTCTCCTCCTTTTGAGTCGACTCAAAATGACTTTTGAGTCGACTCAAGTGTCTGCGAGAAGGGAGTTCACAGCAGCAGCACCGTCTCTCCTGCCCTCTCCTCCTTTTGAGTCGACTCAAAATGACTTTTGAGTCGACTCAAGTGTCTGCGAGAAGGGAGTTCACAGCAGCAGCACCGTCTCTCCTGCCCTCTCCTCCTTTTGAGTCGACTCAAAATGACTTTTGAGTCGACTCAAGTGTTTGCGAGAAGGGAGTTCACAGCAGCAGCACCGTCTCTCCTGCCCTCTCCTCCTTTTGAGTCGACTCAAAATGACTTTTGAGTCGACTCAAGTGTCTGCGAGAAGGGAGTTCACAGCAGCAGCACCGTCTCTCCTGCCCTCTCCTCCTTTTGAGTCGACTCAAAATGACTTTTGAGTCGACTCAAGTGTCTGCGAGAAGGGAGTTCACAGCAGCAGCACCGTCTCTCCTGCCCTCTCCTCCTCATAACTCCTCCCCCACCTCTTCTCCCCCAATTCGTCTTGTTTGCCGTTTTCAGAAGCGACGAAGGCTAAGAAGGCAGCAGCAGTGCTGGCAGCGTTTACAGCAGCACAAGAAGAGAAGAGGAAGGCTGAGAAAGAGACAGGCGAGGGGAGCAAGGGGGCAGTGGGCGCTAAGGGGGCAGAGGGGGCTAAGGGAGGGAGTGCGAACGGCGTTGATGGGAAGAGGAAAGCGGGGGAGATTGAGGGCAGTGGGAAGGAGGGGGGACAGGGGGGACAGGGGACGCCTGGGGGAGAGGCAGGCGAGGGGAAGGGGAAGCAGAGAAAGGGGAAGAAGGGGAAGGAGGAGGGGACTCCGGGCAAGGACGATAAGTCACAGGTGAGCTGCGTGGACAAGTGAGTTGGCTTTTGAGTCGACTCAAAAGTCAGTTACAAAGGGGAAGAAGGGGAAGGAGGAGGGGACTCCTGGCAAGGACGATAAGGCACAGGTGAGCTGCATGGACAAGTGAGCTGCGTTCATGGTAAGTAGTGACGCCCCACATAACACATGACCCATGGTGATGTATGTAACAGTGAGGTGTATTTATCTGTTGTAGTGCGACTACGTTGCTACATGAATGGTTGGTGTGTGTAATATGAAAAGGGCGTTCTATAAATGGTCAGTTTGTAAGACATGCTCTTCATTTTCCTCCCCTCCTTTATCCACTCCCGTCCGGAACACCACTCCAGCAGCAACCATGCCAGTCCCCGGTGCCCCCGTACCCGCTCCAGCCAAGCCAATAAATAACCACCCCCCGCATTGCTTTCCCCTGCGCTGTTTCCCTTTCCCTTTCCGTTCCCACCCCCATCCAGCCCACCACCCCAGCAACCACGGTCCCCCGCGCCCCGGCACCCACCCACACCAGCCAAGCCAGTGCCGAACCCCCCCACTCCCGGCGCCACACTAGCCAAAGCCGCCTCTGCTCTGCTCTTTTGCTCTACATTGTAATAATGACTCCTGTCTTCCTCCCCTCTCTTTCTTGTTTCTGTCTTTCTTGTCTCCCCTTCACCCAGCCCACCACGCCAGCAACCACGCCGGTCCCCCGTGCCCCGGCCCCAACCCCAGCCAAGCCAGTGCCCAACCCCCCCACTCCTGGCGCCACACTAGCCAAAGCCGCCTCTGCTCTCGCCAATGCTGCTCCTGCCGCCTCCCATGCTAAAGCATCTACGCCTGCAAAAGCAGCCAAGGCAGGAAAGGCAGCAGGGACTCCTGCTAAGGAGGGTTCCACGCCGGCTAAAGCAGCCACAGCAGCCAAAGCAGCAACTCCTGAAGGCGGAATCGTGTGCGGAGCGTGCAACAAGTGAGTGCTTCTTTCTGTACATTCTTTTCGGTGTCTCTTTCTGTACATTCTTTTCGGTGTCTCTTTCTGTACATTCTTTTCGGTATCTCTTTCTGTACATTCTTTTCGGTGTCTCTTTCTGTACATTCTTTTTGGTGTCTCTTTCTGTACATTCTTTTCGGTGTCTCTTTCTGTACATTCTTTTCGGTGTCTCTTTCTGTACATTCTTTTCGGTGTCTCTTTCTGTACATTCTTTTCGGTGTCTCTTTCTGTACATTCTTTTCGGTGTCTCTTTCTGTACATTCTTTCCGGTGTCTCTTTCTGTACATTCTTTTCGGTGTCTCTTTCTGTACATTCTTTTCGGTGCCTCTCGTCTGGTTGTGGAACTTGTCTGTTTGGTGGTTTGGTGGCTTAGCGGCTTGTTTATGCTGAGCTCAGTGTGTTTCATCCTCTCCCTCCTCCCTCCCTACCTCCCTTTCACCCTCCCTCCATGCACTGAGGCGTTTCAGGAGGTTCAAGTCCGAGGAGGGCCTGAAGCAGCACACACAGGCTCACATTCTCCTGCCTCTCACCCCCCCCCCACCCCCCTGCGCACATTGTGCCCTCTCAGGAAGTTCAAGTCCGAGGAGGGCCTGAAGCAGCACAACCTGAGCAAGCACGCCGCCACATAACCACCAGTCTGATTCGTTCACTGACCCAAAATTCTCGGGCAAGCTCTCTGCTTCGATGTACGGTACCAGATGCGGTCCCTTGCGTTGGGAGGCTGCAGGATTGCCAAGCCGGATAAAACACAGGAGGACGTATGGTACGGAACGTAGAATTTGTGATGGATTTTTATGGCGAAGCACGAAAAGTCTAAGCACTGGTAAAAAGCTAGTGCTTGGAAAGTTGCGTGGTTGTTTGATGGTTTTCGTCAATTGAAGAGAATATTGTCATTTTCATGAACACATGTGAACATGTGGAAGTACAGGGAGCTTACAAGAAAGTCGGGTTTGAGAACTCAAACCGCTAGGAAATAACAGCTAGGAAATACGTAAACATACCGCTTCATAGTATGAGCGCACGTTTCCTGTAATATCGTTTTTTAGTCGCGCTCGAATCTATAGCACAGGTGTACTTTTTTACCGTCACAGCCTTTAGCGACACGATTAGTGCAGGAGCGTAAGTGTCTGGCTGGATCATAACAACATAATTTCGTTCTCGCAGTGCGATTAGCAGCAGCGTAAGCAGCACCGAAAGGCACGCTCGCGATGAAGGTTCGCGCGTCGGTGAAGCGGCTGTGCGAGGCGTGCCGCGTTGTGCGGCGGCGCGGGCGCGTGTACGTGGTGTGCGCGACAAACCCCAAGCACAAGCAGCGCCAGGGGTTTCACACCGATATCGCCGACAGGTGCGTCTTTGGAAAGGTTGAGCCGTGCGGTGCCGTGCGGTGCAGTGCGGTGTAGTGCGGTGCAGCCGGGTAGCGAGGGCGGGTGTACGTCGTGTGCGCGACGAACCCCAAGCACAAGCAGCGCCAGGGGTTTCACACCGAGACCGTGGACTGGTAGGTTCTGATCCGCCTTTGATTAGGCTCCTCTAGATATTAATTAATCGCTTGAATTACATCGCTGACAGCGATGCAGCGCGGTGCAGCGCGGGTGGGTCTTTTGATCCGAGTGTCGTATAGAGCGCAAGCTCGCGCCGCGCGGTGCAGCGTGGTGCCGCGCGGTGCAGTTTTGAGTCGAATCAGAAGCAAGGGGAGGCGGCGACGCAGGTGTGGCGGAGGGGAGGGTAGGGCGGAGAAGAAGGGGAAGATGTGGCGGAGGGGAGCGGGAGGGTAGGGCGGAGAAGAAGGGGAGATGCGGCGGAGGGAAAGGGGAGTTTGCGGGGGGGAGGGGGAGGGTGAAGGGGGAGTGCGCAACGAGCGCGACGGACAATGCGCAGGACGGTCCAATCGGCTAGCTGGTAACGTTACCTTCCAAATAAGGCGGCTTAGCTGACAGGGAAGGTTAACAGACAGGCCGGCCGGTTTTTTCGCCTTGACTAGGGAAATTCGCATCGGTGGGTGGGAATGAGTAAGCAGGCTGAGTAGGTAAGCCGTTACAAGAGAAGTTGAGGACCTGGATTGACTTTTCTGTTTTTTGTTGGATCAATGTCACAACAACATGAACAGTCATACTTGTTAGGTTTGTGTTGAGCGCTTGCTCGTAGCCTGACGGACTGACAAGTGGCATGCTCGTAGCCTGACGGACTGACAAGTGGCATGCTCGTAGCCTGACGGACTGACAAGTGGCATGCTCGTAGCCTGACGGACTGACAAGTGGCATGCTCGTAGCTTGACGGGCTGACAAGTGGCATGCTCGTAGCTTGACGGGCTGACAAGTGGCATGCTCGTAGCTTGACGGGCTGACACGTGGCATGCTTCTTCTTGTCTCTGGCTGAGTCGTCTAGTTCTCCTTGGCGTGCTTTTGACGACTTTTGAGGCGCCTCAATATTGGTGCGACTTCCGAGAATTCTCAAAAGTTGCACCAATATTGAGGCGCCTCAAAAGACTTCTTGTCTCTTGGCTGAGTCGTCTAGTTCCCCTTGGCGTGCTCTCTGCCCTTCTCTCCCCTCCTCATGCATTCCGGCCCTTCCCCCTGTTTCTCGTGTTCTTCTTCTCGTGTTCTGCTTCTCGTGTTCTTCTTCTCGTGTTCTTCTTCTCGTGTTCTTCTTCTCGTGTTCTTCTTCTCGTGTTCTTCTTCTCGTGTTCTGCTTCTCGTGTTCTTCTTCTCGTGTTCTTCTTCTCGTGTTCTTCTTCTCGTGTTCTTCTTCTCGTGTTCTTCTTCTCGTGTTCTTCTTCTCGTGCTCTTTTCTCCCGTTTCTATCCTCGATCCGATCTAATTGGTCAGAAGACTTTCCACCCCCGCCCCGTTCCCCACCACCCTTTCCTACCCCATCCCCTCCCCTCCCCCTCCCCCCCCCCCCCCTTCCCCCACCAACACCACCCCACCCTTCTCCTGCCCTTTTTTTTTCCTGCAAAACACCCTCTACCGCCCTTTACACTCACTCTCTTAGCCCCCCCTCCCCCGTTCTCTGCACCTCCCCATTTCCCCCGCCTCTTCTCGTTGCCCCCCTCACCACGCCCACCATCTTGCACCCAGCCGCGCCCCCTCTTACCTCCCACCACTCCACCATTCCCCCATGTCACCCCCGCCCTGTCTTCCTCCCACCACCACCACCACCACCACCACCACCACCACCACCACCACCACCACCACCACCACCACCACCACCACCACCACCACCACCACCACCACCACCACCACCACCACCACCACCACCACCACCACCACCACCACCACCACCACCACCACCACCACCACCACCACCACCACCACCACCACCACCACCACCACCACCACCACCACCACCACCACCACCACCACCACCACCACCACCACCACCACCACCTCCACCACCACCACCACCACCACCACCACCACCACCACCACCACCACCACCACCACCACCACCACCACCACCACCACCACCACCACCACCACCACCACCACCACCACCACCACCACCACCACCACCACCACCACCACCACCACCACCACCACCACCATTCAGCCTCCCCCCGGCCCCCCTCCGTCGCTCTGTCCCTCTCTCCCCTCGTTCCACCACAACGCATTCATCGGTAACTTTTGCAGGCTACAACCAGATTTCTCTAATCCGCGTGTGATGACGTTTTTTTTTAGCAAAACTCAGAAACCCTCACTGTGTCCCTCCTCTCCTATCAACTCCATTACCTCACATTGACCCCCACTCCCCTCTCCCTCTCTCCCCTCTCCCCCCTCTTTCTGTCTCCCTCCCACCAGCTCATCACAGCTACATCAGCATCCCTCTTGACTTTTGAATCGACTCGAAGTCACCTCGTGTTAAACCCCTCCCCTTTCTGTCCCCCCTCTCCCCTTCCGCTTCTGCCTCCCCCGACCAGCTTATCGCATCCATCAACCTCCCACTGCAACCACCACCACAACATGACAACAAACGCCGCCCTCGTGTCCAGCCGCCCGTTCTCTCTCTTCCCCCGTATCGTCCTCGCCCACTCCCACTCCCCCACCTCCTCCCTCACACCATCACCATCACCAGCAGCAATGATGATGGCAGCACGAGGAGCAGTAGGGTTAGCTGGTTCCCGGTTGTCGGCTCGACAAATAGCCGCGAACCTTTTAGGCTTCAATAACGCTTGATTAGGACTGGGAATTATTACAGAGGGCCACTGGTGGGACCCTTTCTGTGTAAGCTAAATGTACCGCATATAAGCCTGATTCCATTGTAAGGTCTGCATAGATTGTAACAGTTGCCTGCAATACCACACAACACGACCCTACTCCCCCCTCCCCATCTGCCCAATCGTTTTGCAGCGCAACCTACCGGTATTCTTTTTATCTTTTACCAGTCATAGAATCAAATGTCTCCTGTCCTTGAGCCATCAGCTGTGGGTGGAGGAAGAATCCTCCAAAAAGGCACGGCTGCAAGGGAAGAGGGAGGGAGAGAGAGGTTGATGGGAAAGAGAGTTTTCGAGTTTTCCTTAATATACAAAAGGTTCTTGTCCTTTGAGCCATCAGCTGTGGGTGGAGGAAGAATCCACCAAAGAGGCAGGGCTGCACGGGAAGAGGGAGAGATGGATGGGCAAGAAAGAGTGGGCTCAAGTAGAAACATGTTGTTGCTGAGTTCTTACACAAGTCTCCTGTCCTTGAGCCATCAGCTGTGGGTGGAGGAAGAATCCACCAAAGAGGCAGGGCTGCAGGGCAAAAGGGAGGGAGGGATTGAATGGATAGGAATGGAGTGATTCCATGTGTGGCTAGGGTTTGAAAGCAAGCACGGGGTTTTGAGACATCTCAAAACTCAACTTCTATCACGAAATCATGCACGGGGTTGGGAGGGGACCGGATGGGACTGGTGAGAAATAGTGCTCCTAGGGGAAGCAGAACTCTTACCACACTTTCCTTTCCCCCCCTGCTATAAAGTCTAACTGTAACTGAGACTCACCAGAGGCCATCCGGACCGTCGGTGCAGCACGAGTGTGCGGCGCTGATTGCGCACAGCAGCAGACTGCTTCGACGAGCACTCAGCACACTGCGGGTACAGCCGCTGCCTCTGCTTCTGCATGTCACTCACTGCCCTGCCTGCTTGACCAGGACCCAGCCTAAGCCACCCAAAAATACCTCCCTTAGCAGCACCCCCTGAACCCCCTTCCTCAGCACCCTGCTTCGCCCCTCCTGTCCCTCGTTTTCCCCCTCCTCTGGCCCCTTCCTCTCCCTTCCCCTCGCCGCTGCCTGGCTTTCCAGCGTCTGTTCCTGCCCTCCTCGTGCTTCCCTAGCGTCTCAAACTGGGAGAGCGTTGAACAATAGGTGCTCGATGCTTCATACTGGGAGATCTGGAGAGGCGAGAGGCAGAAGAAGTGGAAGTGGACGAAACCCGAGGCATGCGCCCAGGCTTGGGCACAGGCTTGGCCCGAGCCTGTTTGGCACTGGCTGCCGTGCTTGTTCGTGTTACTGCTCCTGCTCCTGCTGCTGCTCCTTCGACTGCTCTTGCTGAAGGGCGGAACATTCGCAGCAAGCCCAGGGGCAAGATCCTGGCAGGCCAGGATGTAGCTTTCTTGGAAGCTTCCAAAGCTGTAGTGGTGGCAGTGGTTGCAGTGGCTGGAGAGGCCGCAGTGGCGGCACTGCTAGCAGTAGCGGCAGTGTTAGTAGGGGCAGCTGTGGAGGTGGCAGGTGGAGAGTTGGTCTGCTTGGACCGTGCGAGCCACCTGGCCCCGTGCACGTCCCGGTTGGTGGGGATGTGGTCTGCTATGCTGGGAAACGTGGAAGGGAAGAGGATAGAGACACAAGGCAGGAATTGCTAAAGGCTTTTGTAAGAGGTCGTTGATGAAAGAGGTCCTTAAAGTCAAACCCCCCAGGCCCCCCACACACACCTCCCATCCCCTGCCAAAAGCAGCGGCAGCAGCAAGCAGCACTCAGCACTCACCAGTCACCCCGCCGTGTGCCACAGTGGTGGCAGCCAAAGTTCCCACGCACACACACCTTCCCCTCCCTGCCCCACCCCCGAAAGAGCAGCAGCAACGAGGACACTCACCAGTCACCCCGCCGTGTCCCGCAGTGGTGGCAGCCAAAGCGATGAAAGAGGTCCTTGATCAGACCCCTAGAGCTCCCTCAGCCTACACACGTATCTGTCCCCTGACACGAGCAGCAGCAGGAGCAAGCACACCTTTGAGGCGTCTCAAAACTCACCAGTCGCCCCGCCGCGTGCCGCAGTGGTGGCAGCCGAAGCGATGAAAGAGGTCCTTGATTAGGCCCCTTGAGTTCCCTGTTGCGTACTTGCTGCCTTTGGCTGCATGGAGAGGGAGGGAGGAAAATGGAAGGGGGAAGGGGAGGGTTGCGTACTCTGTCTCCCCCTGCTTTGATCAGGCCCCGTGAGTTCCCTGTCGCGTACTTGCTGCCCTAGGCTGCATGGAGAGGGAGGGGGAGAGGGAGGAAGTGGAGGGGGAGGGGGAGAGAAGGTGTGCTGCAGTGGTGGCAGCCGAGGCGATGAAAGAGGTCCTTGATCAGCCCACACTAGTTCTCTTCTCTGTCCCATACTTGCTGCCCTTGGCTGCACTGCATGGACGGGGTTGGAATTGTGAAGAGGGATTGTGGCAGGGGGGGGCTGTCGATGTTGAACAGGTGGGCTGCGGAGGCCTTATTTCCATCAACTCTTGCTGTTTAGGACAGAGAAACAAACCCCATGCAATGATGGTGGAAAAGAACCTGGTGTCGCGCTAGCTTAGAACGTTTCTTAGAGAGCCAGTGTGGATCAACTCTGTCCCATACTTGCTGCCCTTGGCTGCACTGCATGGACGGGGTTGGAATTGTGAAGAGGGATTGTGGCAGGGGGGAAAGGAAACAAGGAAACTGGTTGTCTTGTCTGTCTTGCCCTGTCTTTGCCCTGTCATTTCCCGCAGTGGTGACAGCAAAAGCAGTGAAAATCTTCCTGTCAAGGGTGGGCTGGGCTGTGGGCGATGGGCACTCACATTGTGAGTGCGTCTACCTCACAGGCAAGGCGAACCTGGTGGTAGGGTGGGTTCTCAACCTGAGAGTGAGTACGTAAACTTCATACACCCGCTCCCCAACTTGTCTTGCCCTGTCTTTTCCCACGTTGTGAGTGCGTCTACCTCACAGGCAAGGCGTAACTGGCAGGGTGGGTTCTCAGAGTGAGAGCGCGTGTCAGGGCGTACCAGGCAGGGCGTACCAGGCAGGGCGTACCTGGCAGGGCGTACCTGGCAGGGCGTACCTGGCAGGGCGTACCTGGTAGGGCGTACCTGGCAGGGCGTACCTGGTAGGGCGTACCAGGCAGGGCGTACCTGGCAGGGCGTACCTGGCAGGGCGTACCTGGCAGGGCGTACCTGGTAGGGCGTACCTGGCAGGGCGTACCTGGTAGGGCGTACCTGGTAGGGCTTACCTGGCAGGGCGTACCTGGCAGGGCGTACCTGGCAGGGCGTACCTGGCAGGGCGTACCTGGTAGGGCGTACCAGGCAGGGCGTACCAGGCAGGGCGTACCTGGCAGGGCGTACCTGGTAGGGCGTACCAGGCAGGGCGTACCTGGCAGGGCGTACCTGGCAGGGCGTACCTGGCAGGGCGTACCTGGTAGGGCGTACCTGGCAGGGCGTACCTGGTAGGGCGTACCAGGCAGGGCGTACCTGGCAGGGCGTACCTGGCAGGGCGTATTTGGTAGGGCGTACCTGGCAGGGCGTACCTGGTAGGGCGTACCTGTTAGGGCGTACCTGGCAGGGCGTACCTGGTAGGGCGTACCCGACAGGCAGCAATAGGCGTGCTTGTGAGTGCGTGCATGCAAGGCAGAGCGTACCAGCTAGCTGGCTAGTGAGAGTGTGCATGGCAGGGCGTACCTGGTAGGGCGTACCTGGCAGGGCGTACCTGGCAGGGCGTACCTGGCAGGGCGTACCTGGCAGGGCGTACCTGGCAGGGAGAAGGAGGCGAAGGCACCTCGCTTCTGCACATTGCTGGGCATGAGGTTGCAGAAGCGACCACCTAGCATCTTGGAGAACAGGGGGTAGGGGTGAGTATAAGAGGGTGAGAATAAGAGGGTGAGTATAAGAGGGTGAGCATAAGGTTTAGTGCGGTAGAGGTGAGTATAAGAGGGTGAGTATAAGGTTTAGTGCGGTAGAGGTGAGTATAAGAGGGACGTCGCTGGGCATGAGGTTGCAGAAGCGCCCTCCTAGCATCTTGGAGGGTGGGGGTGAAAGGCAAAGGTGTGAGGTAGGGGTGTGGTGTGGGGTAGGGGCGGGAACTAGAGGGAAGTGAGAGTGGCACGAGGTGGCATGAGGTTGCAGAAGCGCCCACCTAGCATCTTGGAGGGTGGGGGTGAGAGGGAGAGAGAGGAATTTGTGAGCGAAAAGCAGAGGCATGCAAAAGGAGAAGTGGGGCAGCATGTCAAGAGACGGACGATATGTCAAGGGCAGGACGTGGCAGGACGTGGCAGGACGTGGCAGCACCACATGCGCTGCTGCTTGCCTCATCGAGGGGACAAGTCAGCACTCTCGTGCTGGCCACTCCACCACAACTGAGACTTGTAATATGAGTGACTTGCGTGTGTGACCCACTTCCCACCCGCACCCACTTCCCAGCCGCACCCACTTCCCAGCCGCACCCACCTTGAACGCCAGCAGTCCCACCACCACATGCGCTGCCGCTTGCCGAGGGGACATGCTAGGCCACTGGTCAATGCTGGAGAAGCTCGGCCAATCATGGTGTGCCAGCTCATCCACCGCCCGCCTTCTCATGTCAGCCAATCCCCTCTGCGCCCTCTCCATACCATCACTAACACCTAAGAAGCTGTCACCGCTGCTGCTGCTGCTGCTCTTCCTGCCATTGCTGCTGCTGCTACTGCTGCTGCTGGTTTTGGTGCTGTCCCTGCTATTGCCACTCCACAGTCCCCACAGGCTGTGTGTCGTTTTCCCCCTTGTGTCCTGCTGACTGCTGCTTTGCTGACTGTTGCTGCCACTGCTGTTACCTTGGCGTGGCTGCTGCTTGAAGGGCGCAGAGGACTGGTGAGACGATCGTTGTTGTGGGGGGTGAAAGGCTGCGTGCACCACCTGTGAAGCCTGCATGCAGCAGGTGCGGTGGGATGCGGTGGAGTGGGGTGGGGTTGGATGGGAGGAGAGGGGATGGAATGGGAGCGGATGGAAGGCAATGGGATGGGATGGGATGGGATGGGATGGGATGGGCTGGCGAGACGATTGCTGCTGTGGCAGATGAAAAGCTGCGTGCACCGATTATTAGTACTGCATGTAATAGGTGCGGTGGGATACGGTGGAGTGGGGTGTGGTGGTGTGGGATGGGATGAGCTTGGGGTGGGGATGGGATGGGAGGGGGAGGTAGGGAAGGGGACGGGAGGGGATGGAGGGGAGAGATTGGGAGGGGAGGTGATGGGATGGGATGAGGGAAATACCTGGTACCCATTCTGCTTGCGCTACCCATTTTGTCTGCCCTGGACAGTTTGCATGGTTAAAGTATTGCTGCTTCGTTGAGCTTGAGCCTCACTGCCGAACCTCACTGCCGAGCCTCACTACCGAACCTTACCTGTGCGGAGGCAAGAGGGCCAGCAGTGATGCAGAGAGCACCGAGGAGAGAGGCAGAGACAGGCGAGGCGCAGGTTACTCTGCATACCATGCCAACTGCCTCCCTGCCGAGCCTCAATGCCAAGCCTCGATGCCAAGCCTCAATGCCAAGCCTCAATGCCAAGCCTCAATGCCAAGCCTCAATGCCAAGCCTCAATGCCAAGCCTCAATGCCAAGCCTCAATGCCAAGCCTCAATGCCAAGCCTCAATGCCAAGCCTCAATGCCAAGCCTCAATGCCAAGCCTCAATGCCAAGCCTCAATGCCAAGCCTCAATGCCAAGCCTCAATGCCAAGCCTCAATGCCAAGCCTCAATGCCAAGCCTCAATGCCAAGCCTCAATGCCAAGCCTCCGTGCCAAGCCTCAATGCCGAAACTCACTGCCGTGGCGAGCCTCACCTGCGCGGAGGCGATGGAGCCGGCAGCGATGCAGAGAGCGCCGAGGAGAGAAGAGGAGACGGGCGAGGAGACGGATGTGTGCCCTGCCTACCCTCTCTGCAGGGTTTCAAGCCTTGCTGCCGAGGCTCACTATCGAGCCTCAGTGTTTAACCTTACCTGCGCGGAGGCGAGGGAGCCAGCAGCGATGCAGAGAGCACCGAGGAGAGAGGAGGAGACAGGGAGATGGACAAGGCGAGAAGGGAGTAGACGCATGCTTGCATACCTGCGCGGAGGCAAGTGAGCCGGCAGCGATGCAGAGAGCACCGAGGAGAGAGGAGGACAAGGGCGAGGCGCAGGATACTCTGCATACCATGCCAACATGCTTATAACGGGGATGGGTGGTGAGGGGGTTAGAGTGGTAAGAACGCAGGTGAGGAAGGAAAGATGTGGGGGAGGGGTGGCAGGGTGGGGGAGGGGAGGGGAAGGGAAGGGGGAGGGAAAGGGGGGGGGAGGAGGGGGGTTAGGGAGGGGGAAAAGGGGTGTTGCCATGGAATCACATATAGGCCAAGGAATATGAATATGAGGATGTGGCCAGACGCTTCTAGGGACACGTACGTACACAGCAGGTGTACAGTCAGTTTGTCATCTCTAATGTGGGGATCGCTACAGCCGAAATGAGCACATGCAAGGTTCGCTACAGCCAAATTCGCACTTGCAGGGTTCGCTACAGCCGAATTCGCACTTGCAGGGTTCGCTACAGCCGAAATTTTGCGACAGCCAGAACTAGCAATAGGACCAACCTGAGCGCAGGACGCAGCGGCCATATACACGACACCTGCGGTACCCATCTCTGCTACAGCCGGCAGCAGCTGCACTGCTGCCTCTGCTACAACCGATGCACAGTCCGCTACAGCGTTTGAATTGCTCGGTGCTGCTGATGCCATTGGGGACAAAGGGATCGTTTTCTATCGCGGATTGATCAGAGGTATGAAAAACACACAATCAGAGTAATCTAACTGACCCAAGAGTGCACCACTTTACATGGAAACTACCACGTCTCAGGAGATTAAGGCGAGAGCGACTGACCACAGTTCGCTCCAGCAAGTGAAATTCTTTGTGATGTGACTGACAGTAGGATGTGGAAGAGCTGGTGAGAATGAGGTAAGGAAGGAGGCACATTGGGCATCAGCAATCAGAGTGACACATTGGGAAATATTTATGACCACTACGTATGATCTCAAATCAATATGAGAAAGTATGCATCGTGCGAGTATATCTGAGTAATGAACTTATGGTAGAACTTTATTTGGTCCGCTGTGAAGATTTTCAAGGAAATGTTGGCACTCATTGTTATATAAATTATCATGCAGCCACCACATTGCACCAATCGATATGACATCATAAGCGAATATATTGAAACTACTGGCCTTGTTACAAACGGTAACCAGCCTCGCCACGTCAGCTTAATGTGAAATGACCTGGCACTTTCCGTTTGTGCTCAGGGTAAAGCGGCTGGATGAGATTTCGATACGTGACGGAGCGGTACGTTTGGGTGGGGTTTGAGCTGGATTGCTCTCCAAAAACATGTGGGAAAATTGCCTCCTATTATCCGTCCGTACAGCTGAACGAAATGAAAAACTCACCTAGAAGAAATTGTCCTCCCTGCACTGCACATCCACCAAACAACTACCCTCCCCATTTGTCCCTAGAAAAGCTCACCTAGAATTTGTCCTACCTACATGCTGCCTGCTCTGCTTTTATCGCGCGGTGACCGTTGCACTTGTAGTTTCTCATCCCACACAACCACATTCCCCACCCAGTCCCTTGCCATTGGTAGTCAGAGAGTCGTCACTCATTAGCGAGTTCAATTTCGTTAGCTTTCGGAGTGTTAGCGAACCTGCGCCGCGCGTGAGCGAATTCAGCAGCATTAGTGGTGAGGGAGGCGGTCGGCAGTGCTGGTCACGATGTTCGGCTTTATGTCGAAGCCTAAGACGCCAGCCGAGATAGTGCGAGCGCTCGCAGATGGGCTTCAGTCGCTACCTCGAGACGATAAGGTGGGTGCGATAATAATTATTATTATAATCTAATGTTAGGGTGCTTCCGTGCGACCACTGCATGGTGACGGCGACGAATGAAGTTTCGCAATGGGAGCGTCGCAATGCGAATGTCGCAGTGCGAATGTCGCAATGCGAATGTCGCAGTGCGAATGTCGCTATGGGAATTTCGCAATGCGAGTGTCGCAATGTTAGCTTTGCAATGACGACGAATGGTGCGACGAAAGTGTCGCAATAGGAGCCGTGGGACGCGAGCGCAGCATAACTACAGCTTTTTCTACGCACACAAGTCCAGTCTTCAATGCTGCATTGACGTTGCTCTGATACCCCACCCACACCACAGAGTGCAGCGGAGGTGCTGAAAAGACTCGTGACACTGCGAGTGCTGCTCGTAAGCGACCTGGATGCAACAGTGTGACTGCTCCCTGTGCCACCTTGCCTCCTTCCCCCCACCCTTTTGCTGTGATACCCCATCCACACCATCACAGAGTGCAGAGTAAGTGTTGAAAAGTCTCGTGACAGTGCGAGTGCTGCTCATAGGCGACCTGGACGCGCCGGCCAATGTGAAATCTTCCCGTGTCAAGTCAGCCCCTCTCTCCCCCCCCACCACCCTCCCACCACCACCACAGAGTGCAGAGGAGGAACTGAAATCCCTGGTGACAGTGCGAGTGCTGCTCATAGGCGATCTGGACGCGCCGCCCAATAAGGAGGCTGTAGCGGCGGCTGCAGCGGAGTCGGTGAAGTGTGACCTGCTGCCTCTGCTGGTGTCGCGCCTGCCTGTCTTCGATTGGGAGGTGCGTGCGTGGTGCCTTGCTTATTCACATGTCCAATCGCGAGGCTGCAGCGGCAGCTGTAGCGGCGGCTGTAGCGGAGTCGGTCAAGTGTGACTTGCTGCCTCTGCTGCTGTCGCGTTTACCTGTCTTCGATTGGGAGGTGCGTTGTGCTTGTCTTGTGAGTGCAAGCGTGAATGCCGGGCTGTAACCAGTGAGTGTGATTGTAATGAGCTTGTAGTGTAGCCTTACTAATGATGGTACTAGTTGTGTGAAACCTATATAGGTGACTGGTAACCCTGCATTCCCTACAATCTCTGCAATCCCTGCAAACCCTTTCATCATCAGGCTCGCAAAGAAATGGTGCTGGTGTGGACGTACCTTCTCGCACACGGGGGGAAGGCTGCTGGGTCATATAAGTGACACAAATTCCCCCGCAATCCCTCCGATCTCTTTTGCGTTCAGGTGCTCCAGGAGATGGTACTGGTGTGGTGTGGACGTAGAATCTGTTTTTTTAGAATTCTCAAAAAACAGATTCAGCGTACTGGTGTGTGTGGACGTACCTCCTTGCCCTCGGGCCACGGGGAGGGAGAGAGGGTGGGTGAGGGGTTTGAGAGGGGTTTGGGTGGGTGTTTGCTGAGCCATAGAACCAAAGCAAATTACATGCAATCCTTGCAATCCCTTTCGCCCTCAGGCGCGCAAAGAAATGGTACTGGTGTGGACGTACCTCCTTGCACATGGGGGGAAGAGACGGCGACCAAAGGGGGATGAGGACGAGGATGAGGAGGGAGGGGAGGGGTTGTGGGCTGGTGAACTGTAGTGCCGAAGCAAAATTCCCTACATTCCCTTCCCTGCAATCCCTTCACCATCAGGCCCGCAAGGAGATGGTGCTGGTGTGGACGTACCTTCTTGCACATGGAGGGAAGAGACGGCGACCAAAGGGGGATGAGGACGAGGATGAGGATGAGGAGGAGGGAAGGGAGGGGTTCTAGGCTGCTGAGCTATGGAGCCAAAGCAAATGTCTCGACGTTCCCTGCAATCCCTTTCCCCATCAGGCGCGTAAAGAGATGGTGCTGGTATGGACATACCTCCTTGCAAAGGGGGGAAAGAGACGGCGACCAAAGGGGGATGTGAATGAGGATGCGGATGAGGATGAGGGTCGAGAGGGACCAGAGCAAATTTCCCTACATTCCCTGCAATTCCTTTCGCCCTCAGGCTCGCAAAGAAATGGTGCTGGTTTGGACGTACCTCCTTGCACACGGAGGGAAGAAACGGCGACCAAAGGGGGATGAGGACGAGGATGAGGATGAGGAGGAGGAGGGAGGGGAGGGCGGGGGAGCACAGAAGGGAGGGTCTCAGGAGGAAGAGGAGGAGGAGGGACCGGCAGTGGCTTTGGAGTTTGTGGAGAGTCATACGGAGCTGGTGGATAAGCTAGTACGCGGGTGAGTGAGGAAGGCTTATAACGAGTCACTGGCTTATAGTGAGTCAGGGCTTATTGTGAGTCAAGGCATAGAAACAGGGACCTGAGGGGAAGGCGGAGGACGAGGAGGATGTGCCAGCAGTTGCGTTGGAGTTTGTGGAGAGACATACGGAGGTGGTGGATAAGCTTGTACGTGGGTGAATGAGAGGGCTTATAGTGAGTCATGGTTTATAGTAAATCAGAGCACAGAAGAGGGCCTGGGAAGGGGAAGAGGAGGAGGAGGGACCGGCAGTGGCATTGGAGTTTGTGGAGAGTCATACTGAGCTGGTGGATAAGCTTGTACGCGGGTGAGTGAGAGGGGCTTATAGCGAGTCAGGAACACTTCAAGAGTCAGGCAGGGGCTTATGGTGAGTCAGGGCATCGAAGCGTGGGCGTGGCGTGGGGAGGAAGAGGAAGAAGAAGGGCCGGCAGTGGCGTTGGAGTTTGTGGAGAGGCATACGGAGCTGGTGGATAAGCTTGTACGCGGGTATGTCTTTTTCAATCAGGAAAGCACATATGACTCGGACGGGGGCTTAAGGCGTATTCCAGCTCGTGTCATGGGCACTGTTCGTGTCATCCGAGATTCTTCGAATCCAGAGATATCGACTGCCATAAAATCAAATGTGAGATTAGCAGATGGCAATGTTAGTCGGTTTGAATGCAGGATTGGGGCGTCGTACTGAGAAGAGAATGTATGTATGCATTCAACTATGCAGATCTCGTTCCTCCCCCCCCCTCCAGACTCCAATAATGTCTTCCCCACTTCCTTTCCCTTTATCCTTCCTGCTAAACCCCCCTTTCGTTCTCCCTCTCCCTTTCTCCTTTCGCCCCCCTTTTTCTTTTCCGTTTTCCCCTTCTTTCCCCCCCCAGCTACAAGCAGAAGGATGTTGCTCAGAATTCGGGCCTCATGCTGAGAGAATGCCTGCGCTCGCCCAAACTCGTCAGGTAAAAGAGGTGTGGAGAGGAGTGGAGGAGTGCTTAACTGGGATGAGAGGGGGGCTGGGGAATGGATGGGGGATGGAAGGAGTGGGAGGGTGCACCCCATAACCGTGCATCCAATAACCTTGCACCCCATAACCTTGCACCCTATATGATCTCTTAATACCCTATCTGACCTCCTTGCACCAGACTTGACCTGATTGCACCCCATTGCATCTGCAGGACTCTGCCTCCTTGCTCTCTCTCTCCTGGCCCACTCACCCCTCCCTCCCTCTGCACCCCATCCCTTCTCCCTGCCCTCCCAGCCACACGCTGCAGTACGCGAATCTAGATGTCATCATGGGCGGCTGTGACTTACAACAGGACTCTGCTCTGCTCCTCTCCCTTACCTCCCCCTCCACACCCCCTCCACCTCGCCCCTCCTCATTCCCCACCCAGCCACACGCTGCAGTTCTCGAATCTAGATGTCATCATGGGCGGCTGTGACCTACAGGACTTGCTCTTCTGGCTTGCCTCCCCCCTCCAAATCCCCTTCCCCCTCCCTTTGCCCTCTCCCCTGCCCTCCCAGCCACACGCTGCAGTTTTCGAATCTAGATATCATCATGGGCGGCTGTGACTTGCAGAACTTTGACACTGCCTTACCTCAGCCTCCGCATCCCCTCCCCCTCCCCTTCCCCCTCTCCCCTCCCTCTCAGCCACACGCTGCAGTTCTCGAATCTCGATATCATCATGGGCGGCTGTGACTTGCAGAACTTTGACACTGCCTCTGACGCCTTCCTCACCCTCAAGGTGCGTTTGCAACACGAGCTGGCAATGAGGGCTTTAAGTGGCTGCCCCTTAGGTGCGCCGCTGTGACTTGCAGAACTTTGACATTGCCTCCGACGCCTTCCTCACCCTCAAGGTGCGTTTTCTTTGCAACGCCCAGTGCTACCACTGCCCTTGGGTCACATACTGCTATTGCACACAGCACCCACCCTGTGACTTACAGCACTTTGACACTGCCTCTGACGCCTTCCTCACCCTCAAAGTACAGTCACCATCCACCCAGCAGCGATACCCAGCGATGTACGCCTTAGGTCCCTATAGCGTCACAGCAGAACCCATCCACCCTGTGACTTACAGCACTTTGACACTGCCTCTGACGCCTTCCTCACCCTTAAGGTGCGTTGTTCACCATCCAGTGCTATCGGCGTCACGTACTGCTATTGCACAAGAGTACCCACCCTGTCACCGCCACAGCAGCACCCACCCTGTGACTTGCAGAACTTTGACACTGCCTCTGACGCATTCCTCACCCTCAAGGTACAGTCAGTCACCATCCACCCAGCGATACTTTATGCTCTGAGCTGAGGTGCCTTATGCCTCTGCTACTGCTGCTGCCCTTGGGTTTGATTGAAGGTACTTGGTTCCTCTGCTGCTTGGAACCAAGTACCTTCAAACCAGGTACAGTCAGCACCATCCACCCAGCGATACGTATGCTCTGAGCTGAGGTGCCTTATGCCTCTGCTACTGCTGGTGCCCTTAGGTTTGATTAAAGGTATTAGCTTCCCTGGGCTGCTATGGTTCAAACAACAGCACGCTGTGAAAAGAGTGATTTTTTTAGACGTCTCAAAAATTCACTCTTTACACCTTGGGTTTGATTAAAGGTATTAGCTTCCCTTCCCTGGGCTGCTGCTATGGTACAAACAACAGCACGCTGTGACCGCCACAGCAGCACGCTGTGACCGCCACAACAGCACAGCAGCCTTTGATCGCCACAGCAGCACCGCAACCTTTGACCGCCACAGCAGCACAGCACGACCCTCCTGCCCACACTTCTCACATCCCGACCCTCGCCCTCGCCTCTCATCCCACTCCCCCAAGGGCTGAGCAGGACCTGCTGAAGCAGCATCCGTCGGTGGTAGAAGAGTTTTGAGACGTCTCAAAAGTCACTCCCCACAACCTGGCCCTCCCCCTCCCCCTCCCCCTCGCCTCCCCCTCCCCCTCTCCCTCGCCCTCGCCCTCGCCCTCGCCCTCCCCTTCCCCCTCCCCCTCGCCCCATCCCATCCCCCCACGAGCTGAGCAGGACCTGTTGAAACAGCATCCGACTGTGGCAGCAGAGTTTCTGATGACCAACTTTGACGATGTATGTGAGGGGGATTGGGGAGGGGGGAGGGGGAAAGGGGGGGAGGGGTGGGGATTTGTGAAGTTGTCAAGAGGATGAGAGAAAGGGGGAGGGGAAGGAAGTGGTGTGCGGGCTGCGGTATTGCCACCCTGCTGTGGCTGCCGATTTTCTGATGACCAACTTTGACGATGTATGTAAGGGGGAGGGGGAAGGGGGAAGGAGGCTATATGGGCATATGTTGAGTATGGGGGGAAGGGGAGGGTGTGTGGGCTGTGGTCTCGGCATCCGTCTGTGGCAGCAGAGTTTCTGATGACCAACTTTGATGATGTATGTACGGGGGAAGGGGGAAGGGGGGCGGGAGGGAGGGCTGTATGAACGATTTTATGGTTATGAAAGGAAAATGGGTCGTGTATGGGCAGTGATGGATAAGAGGGAAAGGGAAAACTGAGGGAATTGTGCGGGCTGTGGCCTTGGGTTGGCACCCTGCGGCAGCTGAGTCTCTGAGGACTTAGCTGCCACAGGGAGGACTTTGAGGATGTATGGAGGGAGGCGGTTGGGGATGGGATGGAATGAGATAGCTAGCAACTAGCAAGTAGGGGTATGCATGCCTTGCATGGCAGCTGAGCTGATTACAGCGCTTTTGATCCCATCACCCCATGATCCCATCACCCCATGATCCCATCACCCCATGATCCCATCACCCCATGATCCCATCACCCCATGATCCCATCACCCCATGATCCCATCAACCCATGATCCCATCACCCCATGATCCCATCACCCCATGATTCCATCACCCCATGATCCCATCACCCCATGATTCCATCACCCCATGATTCCATCACCCCATGATTCCATCACCCCATGATTCCATCACCCCATCAATTCATGTCCCCATCAACCCATGTCCCCATCACCTTATGATGCCATCACCCCATCACCCCATGGCCAATGCCCCCATTGGCACTTCAGTTCTTCAAGCGCTTTGATCTGCTGCTCGACTCCAACGACTATGTGACACCGCAATCCTTTGATGTCCTTACTTCTGCCATGCTCCCACACTCCCATCACCCCATCACCCCACCCACACTCCCATCTCCCGTCACCTCATGGCACCTTGTCACCGCTCTTCAGTTCTTCAAGCGCTTTGACCTGCTGCTCCTCGGGCAACTATGCGTTGCCTTGCCGCAATGACATGATCCCTCGAAGGTCTTACCTGTGCCATGCTCCCACACTCCCACCACCCCATCACCCCATCATCCCAATGCTCTTCAGTTCTTCAAGCGTTTTGATCTGCTACTCAACTCCGACAACTATGTCACGAGAAGACAAGCAATCAAGGTGTGTTTTGCCACGGCACAGAATGAACAGCACACCCCTCAACGTTTCATTTGTAGGGATTTGCGAGAGATACACACACGCAGACACACACACACACACACACACACACACACACACACACACACACACACACACACACACACAGTCTCTGTAACGCACAGTTTTGAGCATTGCTTGCCCAATTGTGTGTCCCGTTTATGCTGTGCGTACACACGCATGCTTTACATGCCCACCACTCTCGCTCGTGTTGGCTTCCTCAGCTGCACTGCACCCATCCAACACCCCTTTGAGAATTCTTCAGAAGCGACCCTCGAGGACTTCTGAGAATCCTCAACATGCTTTTTGAGGACTCTTGCCCGTGCCCTGTGCCCTGTGGTTGCTCAATGCTCACCCCTGCTAGCAGCAGCTGCTGGGCGAGCTGCTGCCGGGCCCATGCAAGTGATGATGCGCTACATCGCACTCGTTTCCTCTTGTTGCCTGTTCACTCACACCCACCCCCACCTGCCCTGCCTGCCTTCTCCCACCCACCCCCATCAGCTCCTGGGGGAGCTTCTGCTGGACCGGGCGAACATGCAAGTGATGATGCGATACAGTGGAGAGGCACACAATTTCAAGATCATGATGACTCTCATCAAGGTAATCGGGTTTAAAAAAGGATGTGAAGGGTCTTGGTAGCTGGTGAAAAGAAGAAACCCAAAGGCACACAACTTCAAGATCATGATGACTCTCATCAAGGTGCTCGGGTCTTAGAAGGGATATGGAGGGGCGTAATGATTCGGATATATATCTAGAAACAGCTAAGAGGCACACAACTTCAAGATCATGATGACTCTCATCAAGGTACTCGGTTCCGGTTTCTAGCGAGCAATGTCAAATCGCTTTTACTCGCATTGTCCAGTCTTAGTCCGTCTACCCATAAACCTAATGGGACAACTTTGAGGCACCTTGGAAGTATTTTAGGGTTCTCATTGGGGAGACCATCGCCCACGTTCTTGGGCATGCAGGAGCACCTAGCGCTGTAACAATCTCACAACGTTAGCCCTTTTGAGTCGACTCAAAAGTCACCTCGCATGCAGGATCACCTAGCGCTGTAACAATCTCACAACGTTAGCCCTTTTGAGTCGACTCAAAAGTCACCTCGCATGCAGGAGCACCTAGCGCTGTAACAATCTCACAACGTTAGCCCTTTTGAGTCGACTCAAAAGTCACCTCGCATGCAGGAGCACCTAGCGCTGTAACAATCTCACAACGTTAGCCCTTTTGAGTCGACTCAAAAGTCACCTCGCATGCAGGAGCACCTAGCGCTGTAACAATCTCACAACGTTAGCCCTTTTGAGTCGACTCAAAAGTCACCTCGCATGCAGGAGCACCTAGCGCTGTAACAATCTCACAACGTTGCCCTTGCCTTGTCCAATTTTAGCAATTTAACCCATAAAACCCATGGGATGGGACCACTGTCAAGTTCCATGGCTTGACAATGGTTATGTAGCATTCCCCACAATGCTCTGATATACAATTATCTCCCATGCATGCCCCACCGTCCCCAAGCCCTCAACCAGGACCCCAGCAGGACCATTCAATACGAGGCCTTCCATGTATTCAAGGTGCTTGCCTGAGCATAAAAATCATGCTTCACCACACCCCACCGCACCCCACCACACTCAACCCACCATCAGGACCCCAGCAGGGCCATTCAATACGAGGCATTCCATGTGTTTAAGGTGATTCCCCCCCCATTCTTCAACTCTCAACTGGCTGAGAACACCTTGCTCCATCACCACTTCCCTGCCTACTGCTTCCCTGTCTCTTTCCGTTGCTGTTGAACACACTATTTCCTTGCGTGCTCCCTCTGCTGTGCCACGTCCTATTGTTTCTGCACCACATGCCACTGCCATGCATGCTAAAAAGGAGAGAAACACACACAAGAAAAGAATGTGTCTCGGTTTGCATGGCTTTATATCAACCAATAGCCCGCACATATCTAAGTTGACTTCTGATTTGACTCAAAAGCCAACTCGGTTCAGTCTCACACACTTTGCTTGCTTTTTTAGGCGACCCAAAATTTGACTCAAAGGTCAACTCGGGTCATTGTCACACACTTTGCTTGCTTTTTTCTGACTCAGAAGTCGAGTCAAAAGTCAATTGGTTCATTGTCACACACCTTGCGTGGCTCCCACCTACCCTACACCCCCGCACAGATATTTGTGGCGAATCCGCGGAAGCCAGAGAAGATTGTGAAGTTGTTGGCGCGCAACAAGGAGAAGGTAAAATTCCTCAATGACTTTGAGATTGACAAAGGTGTGCCCGGTTGAACAAGTCTTCTTCTTAATCATAAAGCTATATGGTTAGATTCCTCATCGTCACATCCTTCGTGTTCTTTTCACCAAAAGTCGTCCCGTTGTCTCTCCTCACTTTCTTCCCACCCGCCTCCCTATTCCTATCCTTCTTCCTTCTCTTGTTGCTTTGCCCATTTGTCATCCCATTCCTGGTCTTTCCAATTTTCCCCTTTAACACCACAGAGGAGGAAGATTTTGAGGAGGAAAAGGAGATGCTTATAAGGGAGATACAGAATGCCCATTACCCTGGTCTTGGATGAGTGAAATGTAAAGCTTCATGACTTATTGAATGTGAGTTTACTGATGATGTTAGATTGTTGGCTGCAGCTACATTTATTACTTGTGTGGTTGTCCATCCATAATAGGAGACCTTGAGTATTTAATGTCCTTCACCCTCTCTAATTATGTACGCCTTGTGCAGGTGGCCACTCGCATCAATCCCTCTCATGAAGATGCACTCACAAATATATATAAGCGTTTTTTTTTTTTTTTGACTAAGCGTCTGCGATGTGGATTGTTTTTTCCCTTACTGAGTCAACAGGTTACGGCCCTGAGTTTTGGTCAAAAATATCGCTGACATGCTTGCCACGTCTGCGTCAGAACTTGGCGAAATCCCGTTGCAGGGTCCTCGCATCGGGATACAATTTTCGATCGTCGCCCCGCAAGCACTTCGCGAAACTCATGTCCAGCGTGGATTGACACACCCACCACCAGCGGGAAAAGGGCAAACCATCGAGAATCTCGCGAAGTGCCACCAAGACAGCTTGAAAGCAAATGCGGGCGTATCCTGAATGGTCGTCACTTCGGGGCAGAGAAACGACACGTACGAACGTTAGATTCATGTCATATAAATTCTGTTGTAGGACTGAGGGCGTCCTCCCAATGACATGAAGCTGCGGTACATGCGGTACACGTAATGAAACGAAACAAGTACGCTCTCCGCGATGTAGAGATGAAACGTTTGACTAATTCCGTAACAATCCGTTACGCCCTCGCAGGAGCAAGAGCTCAGAGAAGAACAGAACCAGATTCCAGAAACAAGTTACTACCGCGATGAGGAACAAAGCAGACCAGCATCTTGGTAATTCCTCGAGTCAAGAAAATCCGTCGCCAGAACCAGCAACAACCAGCCCTTTTGCACAGGCTTGATAGCTTGATAGACCGTATCTTATTCGTGGTTGCATTCGCCCTGCGCCTCCGCATCCTCCGCTAAACCTGTCCCCGCAAGAGTCTTTTTGCTGGTATGTCGCTCCTGGATAATGGGAGCGCTGCATTTAAGGCGGCACCGTCGCCTTTGTCGCTGTCGTTCGTCCCTAATACGCTCTCCGCACGCTCTCCGGCTGTCTGTTCACAGTGTGCATTGGTTTCGCACTTACGTTTTCTTCACGTGATTTCCGGACTGTGCCTTCACTGAATGTCGTCAACTCATTGAATGTCATCAGCTCGCTGAATATCGTCAGCCTTGAATGCCGTCAACACTGAATGTCGTCAACTCACTGAATGTCTTCAACTCACTGAATGTCGTCAACTCACTGAATACCCAACTTACTGAATACTGAATATCCAACTTACTGTATCTCCATTATCTATTCTGCCTTCCCCTTTTCCCCTCCTCTTCCCTCACTCAATGAACTCCAGGCTCCATAAACGCCACTAATCATCTCAACGTCTCTGCCTCCCCGTCGGTGCTACTGCCATTCACAGCTGGCCGCAACTGGAACTCCTGCTGCTGCTGTTGATTCTGCCATAAAAACTGCCTCTGCTGCTCATATTGAACCTGCCGCTGCCATTTGAACCGCGTGTTGTTCATTTCGGAAGCGCCTTGCTTTCGGTTTCAACACGACTGCTAGCACTGTACTGGCCTGAAACCACCTGTGACCTGTCTACACCGACCTGTGACCTGTCAACACCACCTGTGACCTGTCTGCACCGACCTGTGACCTGTCTACACCGACCTGTGACCTGCCTACTCCGATCGGTCAGCATGCCGAGAGCCTCGCCCACACCTTCCAGGAACATTCTGATCGCCGTGGATCCCAGCCCTGACAGGTGAGTCGTGCCTGGAACCACGCCTTCACTGACAGCCAAAGTCGCATGGTCGTGCAATAACAGTTGGCTTTTTAGTTGGTTTTATTAGGAGGTTTGAGAAGAAATGGCCTTCATACTCAGACAGATACAGATCTTAGTTGGAATTGACGGAGCCAGCGTTTTTTACGCTAGCGTTTTGACGCTACGTTTTTTACGCTGGACGCAACCCTCCGAGATTTTGACGTTGGTTTTGACGCTCTGGCGGGCAGGCAAAAAACCCTTCGGGCAGCCAAAAAAAACCAGGGGGGGGTGGGGCTCGGGGGGGGGGGGGAGAAGGTAAGAGGGTAGGGAAGGCGCTGGCTTGCTCTTCCCAGCCTCAACCGGAACATGCTCCTCCTCCTTCCCCTCTCCCCTTCTTTCCACCGGCTCATCTCCCTTCTCACCCTTCACAACTTCCCCCTTCTCCTTCCTCTCTCCCTTATGCCTCTTCTCTCTCTCCCCCTTGCCTCTCCTCTCGCCCTTCTCCCCTCACCCCCTGTCCTTCCCCTTCTCTTCCTCTCTATCCCTCTTCTCCCGTTTTTTTTGCCCTTAGATTTTTTTTTTTTTCGGGCTGCTAAAAAACAAATTCAGGCAGCGTCCAGGAGCAAAACGTGCGTCCAACGTCCAGGAGCAAAACGGTACGTTTTGACGCTGGACGTAAGGCCTTCCTGGCGTCAAATCCAACTAAGATACAGATAGCATGGGCCGCCCAGAACCACATACAGACCAAGTCACCCCTATTGCCAGTGAATCCGTAATCGCCAGTGCGTACAGCCCCACTTCTTTCACATGTCCCTCAAGAACCAAATCTGCCTGTCCGCGTTTAGAGACAACTCAACACAATCCGCCTTCATCCACGCATCCTTCACCCCCTCCACCCATCAATGAGAAGGGGGTGGCATGGGCCCTCAAGAACCACATTCGTCCTTCCGATCGAGTCATGCCTTTTGTGTGAACCGTTTTTGCCCTCTTCCTCCACATCCCCTCCTCACACCTCCCCGTATCAGTGAGAAGGCGGTGGCATGGGCCCTCAAGAACCACATTCGTCCCTCCGATCGAGTCACTCTGCTGCATGTGCGCCCAGTGGTTGAATCGGGACCGGGCCTTTTTGCAGGTATGTCGACGACAAGGTTGAATTTGGTACATGGTTACATGGTAAACGGCTGCCTGGTTACATGGTTACATGCTTACCTGGTTACTGCAGGAGCCTAGTTGCATTCTTTTTCGTGCATCTGACCACATAGCTGTATCTATGGCTGTTGATGCCTGCGTGTCCCATGCACCCCCGTGCGTCTCTCTCCGCGGCCTATGCTACGCGGACTCCACGCTGTCAGCAGAGCAGAGGCAACTGCAGAGGTGGACCGAGTGGAGTGGCTGAGAAGCACACCGGCGGAGTGGTGTGGCAAGAGTCACTCTGCAATTCGGTTGTTGTTTAACTGCGTCTTATGCCTGTGTGCTGTGCCCCACACGCCCTCACATGTCTCGCTCCAGCGTATGCGGACTCAACACTGTCAGCAGAGGCGATGGCAGAGGTGGACCGTGTGATAGAGAAGCACAACGTTGGGGTGGTGTGGGAAGATTGACTCCACATCTTGAAGCATTCAAAGCTACTCTGTGTTCCACACTCCTCTATACCCCTCCCACCAGCCTATGCGGACTCAACATTGTCAGCGGAGGCGATGGCAGAGGTGGACCGTGTGATTGAGAAGCACAACGCCGGGGTGCGGAGGAGATTCGTGAGCAACCTGTCACAACAGCTGGACCAGGCTAAGGTGGGTTGGTAGGTGTTCTAGCTGAGAAAGCTAGTAGGATGGGTGGGGGGTTTGGTGGGTCATGGCGGGCGGGTGGGTGGGCGGGTGGGTGGGTGGGTGGATGGGCGGGTGGGTGGCCGGGTGGGTGGCCGGGTGGGTGGGTGGCCGGGTGGGTGGGTGGCCGGGTGGGTGGGTGGGTGGCCGGGTGGGTGGGTGGGTGGCCGGGTGGGTGGGCGGGTGGGTGGGTGGGCGGGTGGGTGGGTGGGCGGGTGGGTGGGTGGCCGGGTGGGTGGGTGGCCGGGTGGGTGGGTGGCCGGGTGGGTGGGTGGCCGGGTGGGTGGGTGGCCGAGTGGATGCGTGTGGCAGTACAGGACACGAACCCCAAGGAGCGCATCTGCATGAACCCATGTAATAACCCTGTGCTTGCCGCATTCTCCCCTGTCTCCCTATTATCGAATCAAGTGCGGTACGACGTAGCGGCAGTGCAGGACGCGGATCCCAGGGAGTGCAACGGTAAGGAAGTACACATACAGCAACCCATCATGTTGCACTTTCCCCTGTCGTATTCCATTTGTCTCTTCCAGGTGCGATACGACACAGTGGATACCTGGTATACATGAGGCGCGCAACAGGTGGCAGTGCAGGACGCGGATCTCAGGGAGCACATTTGCAAGAACCCTCACAATAACCCTTCTGCTCCGGTTGATCCCTCCTATTTTCCTGCTGCATTCTACCCACTCCTTCAGGTACAATACGACATCGTGGCAGTGCAGGACGCGGATCCCAGGGAGGTGTTGACGTGAAGGATCCAACACAAAGCCCGCAATCCTCTCTCCTTCTGCATTCTCTCTCACCACCAGGTCCAGTACGACATAGTGGCAGTGCAGGATGCGGACCCCAGGGAGCGCATCTGCAACGAGGTGGAGAGAATGAAGGCGCATACCCTCATCATGGGGTCACGGGGACTCAGTACTGTTAAGCGGTAAGATGCGGTTCAGTGCGATGGTGCACATGCTCATCATGAGGTCATGAGGGCTTGGTGTCGTGAAGCGGTGAGAGAGGGTGCATCTGAAGCGTATCTAGAGCATATGCTGTTTACATATGTGTACATGCTACCTGCTGACAGTGTGCTGTGCTGCTTGACGCAACTCCTTCATGGATCCCCTCCTTCCCCACGCCCCTCCCCTCCCCTCCCCTCACCTCCCCTCCCCTCCCCTCCCCTCCCCTCCCCTCCCCTCCCCTCCCCTCCCCTCCCCTCCCCTCCCCTCCCCTCCCCTCCCCTCCCCTCCCTTCCCCTCCCCTCCCCTCCCCTCCCCTCCCCTCCCCTCCCTAACCTTCCCTCCCCTTCTACCCCAGACCGGTGCTTGGGAGCGTGTCAGACAATTGTGCCAACCATGCCACCTGCCCCGTTACTAGGCTCAAGCAATCAGATCCGAGACTGTTTGACGTTCCTCCTTCCTTCCCCTCCCCTCCCTTTTCCTTTCTTCCCCCTCCTCTCCTTCCCCCCCTCTCCCTCCATCCAGACTTGTGCTGGGAAGCGTGTCGGACTATTGTGTCAACCATGCCACTTGCCCCGTCATTGTCGTGCGGCCAAAGCAATCAGAGACTGCTTGAACGTCTTCCTGCCTGAACCTCCTTCTGTGAAGCCACTACCATACTATACTGGTATTGCAGCTGTTTAGCAACGCTGTACAAATAAGGGTGCGGATGTGATGCTGCCACAATGGTCAAAGAGGAATTGCACGTGGGTGTGTCAGCAGCAGTGCTAAGCGAACAACGGTGCTGCCTTTGGGAGAATCTGCAATCTCAAAGTTCCTGGTACCGTGTGCAGCGTAACTCTGTCAATAAGTTTTCTTTGCACCCTGTTTGCATCTAAAGACTGCAATTAAATGTGGTACTGTACTGGTCCTCAGGTACCTGAATAAACATGAATATAAACCCATAAAATAAAATAACGTAGCAACAGCTCCATCCATCCATCGCCACAAACAGTGTCAAATCATCCACCTACGTAGTTACTCCAACAACATCCAGTATTGAACCCCCATGTCAGGTCCATGGATGTGTGGGGGTTGATGCGCCTCTCATAAACGACAAAACGGCTGCGGACCAACTCATTCTGCAAATCCTCGAAGAAAAGTCCCAGCTTATTGTTCTTGCAAACGGCCTAGTACACAATGAACTTGTCGGTAAGCGAGCAGACGTGCACTTTCTTGGACGGCCCTGACGAAATCTTCTCATCTGCTTTCTCCATGCGAACCCTCACAATCTTTTGCTCGGACTTCTCGACCTCAACCCACTCCCCGTTGGCAGCAAGATGGGTGCGCTCTTTCAGACGATTCAATTCCTCATCAGGGAATTGGTTCACAACCCAGTTGGGTGTGGAAAGAATGAGCTGGTGGATGGAGGGCATAGAAGACCAGCCATTTCCCAGGACGTTCCTATTCACTAGTACCTCCCTCCATCCTATCACCTGCATTTTGTTGCCCTCAGCTTCTATCACTCCCTCAACCACTGTGGTGGAGAGACGGGGTGGGGGTAGTGGGGGGATAATGGCGTTGTAGTAAGTTAGTGGTGCAGGAATGATAGCAGAGTGTGTAGAGCCCAGGAAGGAGGCGTTCCTAAGCGCACTGCAGCCCTATCGAAAGTCAAAAACAGAATGTTGAGAATTACGGAAGTGACTGAATGGAAACTCATAAAACGAATGTGGAAGCAACCCCACACTGACTTGTCAAAACATCCAGACGCACCTCCGGTAGCATGCATGGAAGTGGAGGGTTAAAATTGAACAGATTAAAACCAGTGCTTCACCACACACGATTTTCTCACATTGCTTTGCTGCATCGGCAGATTCAGGCGGCAGAAACATCATTCCCACAACCGTCCGCAATCGATCCAGCGGTTCACGGCCATTCTCTTGCTGCCAGCTGTCCAGGAGTTCCCAAGGGACGCTTGTCACCATGAAGGCACCCTCACTGTAATATTGGGGTGTGCGTGCTAAGATATCCCAGGAATCCGGCTGATAGTCAGGGTAGGTGCTGAGTGCTTCCAGGGCCTGTGAGACAGGTGGCGATAAGGAGAAAAGGGGCAGAGAGTAAAAGGTATAAACAAGGGGTAACGGCATCATGCAAGTAAATAACACTACGCAGTAAACCAGAACCCCCCGTACTACTCGCATAGCAGAGCAGAACAGGAGTGCAGAGCAGAGCAGAGTTGCTATGCGATCCAGTTTTCGTCACAACTCTGCTCTCCTCTGCTCTGCTGCCAATTCTGGCTTCACCAGTTTTACCTTTTTACAGAAGAGAAAAACCGCGTTCTAAGGTGAAACTGGATGGCTAGAACAGAACCGCAGCTGTCTTACCTGCCTGACAATCTCATGCGAGTAGCGATGACTGCGTGATACCACTTTACCCCCGGCGGCACAGTCAGGCTCCTCCCATACAAAGTCTCCATAATTTGGGTTAGTCTGCTGCACCAACCCAGAACAGTGCGAAAAGCAGGGGAAGCACAAGTCGAACAAATGGTTGCATGACATCAAAGAAAGACCGAGGTCATACTTCCATGTAAGAGCCATACACGCGTCTCTCTTCAGCAGATTGCTGCAGAAACCCTAACACAGGGCGGACGAAACAGTGGAAGCGGAAGCACGCGGAAAAAACAGTTCAATTATATGCAAACAACGCGAGTCTGCTATTGCGTCATCTGCATATGTTGAACGGAAAGGAGAGACAAGTGTAGCGTAAATAGCATCGATACAGCTTCCCCAGAGGACATAAACGGCTCTCGCGGTATTCTGCGATAATTTCGCATCATTCAATAGAGATGCGACGGGTCAGAGGAAACCCGACAGGTCGTGCAAAAAATATTGCATGCCGTGCAATACAAAAAACGCTATGGGCCAAACGAGCTCGATAAGCTTGCACCGAAGATTTACCCTGCCATCCAGCAACGATACCTTTACAACGACGGCGATGAAAAAGGAAAGCAAAAACAAAATCTTATAATTTGCAGAGTAACTCACGCTTTTGTGTCACCTGTCAGGCACCCTAGTAACTCTTGTTCTATTGAAAATAATTTCAACCTGGTACTGTCCCAGCACGGCATTCGTCGCGATCCTCCGTGGATTCGTCGCCCGCGTCGAGAGTCGCGACGTCTCGCCTGCCAATTCGAAGCGACGATTCCCAGTACCGAGATTGAAACGCAGCCTTGCCCCGTGGATTTCACCGGCCTTGCTCCCACTGAAATTCGCGGTACGAACATCACTCCTCACGAGAAGTGAGGGAGGACTTAGCGCGAGAACCATCGCCATGGCTAACTGAGTCAATTATCTTTCTCGGACAGACATGTCAAACTGCGATAGTTTTCCTGCTTCTGGGATAAGAAGGGACAGGAGGACAGGAGGAACCACTACCGCATTGATCAGGCGTTTGACGGCGGGTTCGCTAAAGGGCCACCGTAGTGAACCGCACGGAATTTTATAGAAACACGCGGCGATGTGTTTCAACCTCAGATGAAACCGCTTTGCACCACCATGTGTTTGCTGAATGTACCAGGTCCTAAATTTGAGTCCTGAGTGGGGAGGTTGACCCCGCATTGTTATAAGCCCCTGTAATAATTTCATTCATCTCGCCATAATCATGTACCTTACTTCGCTATTTCTGACAGTATTGTATACTCATGTCTCAAAATGAGCCAAATGCTCCTAAGATTGTGTCTACGTGTGCAATATGGCAACATGAATGGGTCATGTTGTTACAATTAGCGGGTTTGTGAGCACCTTGTTGCAGCAGTTGGATCATACTCTCAAGAAGCGTGCACAACGGAATGATCAACTAGAAACAGGATAGGGTACAAATATGTGAACCTAACAGTTGTACCCCCTAGAAGGCACCTCACTACAGCCTATATAACATATTATATATTTGACACACCCCCATAGGCTAAGTGAGGGGCATCAAAGTAAGCAGAGTGAGCAAACGGTCACAAGACCAGTCAAGACAAGTAGCAAAGCAAGCTCAGGGTGGATCTCAAGGACACCACACAAATTCCGAGCACAAAACAAGCGGCCACAATGCCAGTTCAAGAGTTCACTAGGATATATAGAACAGCAAAACAAGCAGAGCAAACAACAAGGCTACAACAGTCGAGGGCCTACCTCAACAAGCCCCAACTGCACACAGAACCTGTGGTGGTCACCAGGCGCCAAGGCCTTGGTGAAGACGTCGGCAGTGTTGGCCTCTGAGGCCACAAAGTCCAAGCGTGCCTGGCCGCGTCGCTGCAACTCTCGCAGGAGGAAGTACCTACCGTCAATATGCTTCACTCTGCTCTCCAGTCGAGGCTCTCGACACAGGAGGATCATGGCCTTGTTGTCAGCGTACAAGGTCGGTGCAGAGCGAGGCCGCTCACCAAGGTCGGCGAGCAAGAAGGTCAACCAGCGAAGCTCCTGTGCCGCCATGGCACCAGCGTAGATCTCTGTGTCAGAATGTGATGTTTGTGTAGCCTGCAGTGGGGTACTCTGTAGCGAGTACAGCCCGAATTAGGGTTTGCTATATGTACTCAACCGCATGCTAGTGAAATCCCTTCTTTCCTGTTTATCGTTTTAGCCTAGTCTTTCGACATGCTATCAGAGCAGGTCGACCCTCCTGGGTCGATCCTGTGGGTGGGCCCCACCCGATGCTTCCGCTGCTCTACTGCTGTCGCGCGCCTCGGGCGCGCGACCCTTTCTTCCTACCGCGCGCTCGGAGCGCGCGGCGTTTTTCATCCCGCCGTGCGCTCGGGGCATGCGGCGGTTTTCTGCCCGCCGTGCGCCCCGAGGCGCGCGGCGGTTTCCTGCTTCGCGCGGCGGTTTTCTGCCCGTCGTGGCGCCCCCGGGGACCTGCGCGCTGCCCCCCGTCGCCCGTCGCGGCGCCCTGGGTGCCCGCGCGTCGCCCTCCTCCCGTCGCCTCGTCGCGGCGCCCTGGGAGCCCGCGCGCCGGCCCCTCCCGTCGCCTCGTCGCGGCGCCTTAGGGGCCCGCGCGTCCCCCCCTCCCGTCGCCTCGTCGCGGCACCTTGGGGGCCCGCGCGTCGCCCCCTCCCGTCGCCTCGTCGCGGCGCCTTGGGGGCCCGCGCGCCGCCCCCTCCCGTCGCCTCGTCGCGGCGCCTTGGGGGCCCGCGCGCGGCCCCTCCCGTCGCCCGTCGAGCCGCCCTCTGGGGCCCCTGCGCGGCCCCCCTCCCGTCACCCGCCGTGGCGCCCTCGGGGGGCCCGCGCCCTGCTCCTTCGTGGCACTCAGGAGACCCCCCCGCCGCCTCCCTTTCCCTCCGTGAACCGCCCCTGCTGCTTCCCGCGCTCCTGCCTGCGTTAGGGTTTGGGGGTGGCGGGCATGGGGGTGAACGGTGTGGGTAACCTGCAGCTCCTCCTACTCCTCCGTCTCCCACTGCTACAGCTGCCGCTGAGGGGGGTGGGTGTGTGGGAGCCGAGGGTTTAGGGTTTAAGGGGGGTGCCGTGGGAGTGGAGCTAGGGGCACAGCAGGGAGTGTGTGAAAGGGGTGTGGGACAGTTTGGGGAGGATGACAGGAGGTGGCCGTTGTGACGTCTGCAGCGCCAGTAGTCTGGGGGTTGAGTACTCCGGTAGCCCAGCGAGCCTGCTGCTGCCAGTCGCCCGTGGGTCTGTTGCTCCTGCTGCTGCTTAGCGCGGAGCCAGTTACTCCTGTAGTCCGGAGGTTGAGTGCTCCGGTAGCCACCGTGCGCGCCGTTCCTGTTGCCCGTGTGTCTGCGGCTTCACCCGTCGCCTTCTATCTTCACTCCTCTCACAGTCTCTCCTCCTCCTCACTTGCCCTCTGTGACTGCCTCTAGCTTTGCTTATCATTGTGAACTATTGCTCTATGACTGCTTGTTGTGTTGATTGTACCCCACTTTGACTATGGGGGTGTGTCAGCAGTGGGGTACTCTGTAGCGAGTACAGCTCGAATTAGGGTTTGCTATATGTACTCAACTGCATGCTAGTGAAAACCCTTCTTTCCTGTTTATCGTTTTAGCCTGCTGTTTCGACACTCTGCCTCTGCACTGGACGAAGCCACAGACGACGACCGTGTAGACCTCCACGACACAGCACCAGCACCCAGACTGAAGCAGTAACCCTGAGTCGAACGCTGAGTCTCCACGTCGTCAGCGTAGGAAGAGTCGCAGTGACCGGTCAACACAACTGGCTGTGTCCCTTTAAGCACAAGCCCCATGCCTGATGTAGTCGCCAAGTACTTCGCCACCCTCACAGCAGCTGTCCAGTGAACAGGACGGTGTCTCCCAGTCGCAACAAAGCGAGAGAGGACGCTGAGGGGAAAGGCGAGGTCCGGCTGAGTACAAGTCATCAGGTACATGAGGCAGCCCACAAGCTCTGCGTAGGGACCACTAGACTCAAAGGGCTCGTCGGGAAAAGGGCCAGTGAGTCGGTGGTCAACAGCAAGAGGAGTGGGCTGTGTGGTGGAGAACTGAAACCCGAACCGCCGAAGGACCTGCTGCACCATGTGTGACTGAGTCAGTGTGATGGTGCGAGCGGCTCTGTCCCTGGTGATCTGCAGGCCAAAGTAGCGCTGCAGTTCACCAAGGTCAGTGCACTTATGTCTCTTCTGCAGTTCGGACTTCACCTTAGCCAGAGCTGCTCTGTCTGCTGTAGCAAAGACCAAGTCGTCGACGTAAACTAGTATAAAGAAAGGAGTGGAACCAGCGCGAACAAACAGCGACGGGTCGGCAAAGGAAGGACGAAACCCAAGGTCACGAAGCGTGGAGCGAAGAGTGTCGTGCCACTCACGGGGCGACTGGCGGAGACCGTAGACTGGCCGCCTCATGCTCCACTGGGTCTCAGGTGGGAAGGTGTCAGTGAAGCCAGGAGGACGGCGCAGCCAGATCTCCTCGTGTAGCCGGCCCTGGAGAAACGCAGTGGAGAAGTCGAGGGAGTGCAGCTCGTAGTCTCGCTGTGCTGCTACGTGTAGTAACACCCGAAGAGTAGTCATCTTCGGGGTCGGGGCGAAGGTCTGAAAGAAATCAACTACCTTACGCTGACTGAAACCCCTAGCCACGTAGCGCACCTTGAACACAGGCGGTGAACCAGGCGGCCGCTTCACCTTGAAGAGCCACATGCCATCGACAACGTTCGCCCTGGAAGGGGGAACTGCGTCGACGTAGGTGCCTGTGGATCTCCAAGACGCTAACTCCGTGTCCATAGCCGCTTTCCACTGAGAGGCCCACTCCCCTGACATTGCCTCACGGTACGAGCGAGGTGTCGGTATGTCAAGGGCGTCGGGGTCTCCCTCAAGGGAAAGCAGCATGGCGCAGAGAGAGGGGGAAGCGGCTGTTAAGAACTCCAGCTCAAACTGCCTGTCCTTTAGGACGTCACAGCCAAGGACAGACTCACCCCCGACGGAGAGAGGACGGGGAGGTGGAGCAGCCACCACACGCGTGGCATAGTCAAGACAGCGGGTGGAAGCAAAATCAGCGACAGCGGCAGTAAGAGCCGAGACAGACGACGGAGAGGCACGAGGGTCGGTGACAAGAGAGGCGAGAACACGAGAGACAACAGGGCGAGCAGCACGGTAGTAGTCAGTGATAGGGTGAGAGGAGACGGTGAGAGACGACTCAGGAGGTGAGGGGAGAACAGACACAGGCGGAGAACGACGAGGAGGAGAACTAAACAGTACAGTGCGGAGGTCGGCAAAAGGAGACGAGGGCCGAGCACGTGGAGGACAACGACTGGTCCAGTCGTGCCGGACAACAGGAGGAGGCGACCGTAACTGAGGAGGAGAGAAAACAGCCGGAGTCGAGTCCGGAGGAGGAAACGAAGGACCGTACGCGGGAGGAGACTGTGAGGGTACAGGAGGAGAGGAAGGAAAACCAAGGGCCCGAAGGCAACTCACTGGAGGGAACAGCTGCTGCTGCTGCTGCTGCTGCTACTGCTGCTGCTGCTGCTGCTGCTGGTCCAACTTCTGCAACTCCTGCCTCTCCTGCTCCACCCGCTCCTGCTCCTCGCGCTCAAGCCGGCGAAGAGCCTGGTGACGTGTGTCATAGCGGTGGGGAGGCGCAGTAGTCGTGCCTCCAGCTCATGTCTCCTCAGAACTAGTGCCACCAGCGCCAGAGCCTCCTGCTCCAGCACCCCCAGAACTAGCGCCACCAGCGCCAGCACCTCCTGCTCCAACACCCCCAGAACTAGCACCTCCAGTGCCAGTACCTCCAGCTCCAGCACCCCCAGAACTAGCACCTCCAGTGCCAGTACCTCCAACTCCAGCACCCCTCGAACGAGCGCCACCAGACTGCGCACCGCCAGTGCCTGCACCTCCAGAT